TTGTAAGTTTCTGTTCTTTACAAGTCTGAAAATAGGGGCACCTGTGTGCCTCAGTTGGTTAAGTGTCTGACTCTTGGTTTCGGCTCAGGTTATGATCTCACCGTTTCTGAGTTTGAGCCCCACATTGGGCACTGCGCTGACAGAGTGGACCCTGCTTGGGATTCTCTCTCTCTCTCTCTCTCTCTCTCTCTCTCTCTCTCTTTCTCTTTCTCTTTCTCTTTCTCTTTCTCTTTCTCTTTCTCTCTGCTCCTCCTTGCTGGCGCTGTCTCTCTCTCAAAACAAACAAACAAATAATAAATAAATAAATAAATAAATAAATAAATAAATAAATAAAGTCTGAAAATCTCAGACCTGGATGAACTCTAAAGCTGTGTTCTCCAATGCTTTGGCTACTGGTCACGCATAGCTACTGAGCACTTGAAAGGTGGCTAAGCTCTAGGAACCACATCTGTTTCCTCCAGGACCCTGGGGAGTCAGACTCTCTGAGGGCTACATCAAGGTAATGTTGGCCTCTGAGAGGGATGGGGCCTGAGTCTTATTTGTTAATCACCAGACTTCATTGGATGACAAATTGCTTTGACATGGTTAGCGATACAGGCTGTTAAAGTGGGATAGGTTGTGAGCTAATCACAGCTTAATAAGCCTTCTCATTTTCCGTTATAACCTATAAAGTACTCTTCCGTTTCTAAATTCTTGTGTGGAAAACTGTCCTTCAAGGTTCATTTTTTTTTTTTTTTTTTTAGGAAAGGGTAAGGTTAATGTGAGAATAGGATAATATTCAGTCAAGGGTGAGCAGACCTGGATGTTAGTGGGTTCTGCTGATTAATAGCTGCATGACTTTGGGGGATTCTCTGTTCCCTTTGGACATTGATTTACTCATCTGTATACAGGTGATACCTTGCTCTGCCTACTGTTTATATGAAAAAGTATTTATTATGGACTGAATGTTTGTGTCCCCTACCCCCCCAAATTCATATATTAAAGCCCTAACCCCCAATGTATTAACATTTGGAGGTAGACCCTTTTGGGAGGTAATTAAGTTTATTGAAGTCATGAGGGTGGGTCTTATGATGGGATTAGTGTTCTTCTAAGAAAAGGAAGATACCAGAGCTCTCTCTGTGGCATGTGAGGATACAGCAAGAAGGCAGTGCAAAAAGGCAGCCAGATGTCCACAAATCAGAGGAAGGCCTTCACCAGAACTCAATCATAATGGGGGCACCTGGGTGGCTCAGTCGGTTGAGCATCTGACTTTGGCACAGGTCATGGTCTCAAGGTTTGTGGGCCTGAGCCCCGTGTCAAGCTCTTTGCTGACAGCTCAGAGCCTGGAGCCCACTTCGGATTCTGTGTCTCCCTCTTTCTCTCTGCCCCACTCCTGCTCATACTCTGTCTCTCTCTGTCTCAAAAATAAACATTAAAAAATCAGAAAAAAAAACCCTCAATCATAATGGTCCCTTGATCTCAGGCTTCCCAGTCTCCACAACTATGAGAAATAAGTGTTGTTTAAACTTCCCATCTCTGGCATTTTGTCATAGCAACTTGAACTGTCTAAGACAGTGTTTGATAAATGAATAGTGAGAAGGCACACTAGTTATGAGTTACTTTAGAACTTTGGAAGTTTAATGCAGCGTCTTCCTCTGCTTGTCTAAACCTGGTTCTGATACTTTCCACGTGTGATTCTGAGTGAGGCACTAATTCTGTCTGGGCGTCTTAAGATTCCTTCTCCCTCAAGGTTCTGTGAAATCACAAATATGACTTAAGCCCACTGCTTTATATTTTCTGGGTCTCAAAAAGCATACACGTGTGTTTACTTATTTTAAAGAATTGTACCTCTTAAGTTGCAAAGGTAATATCTGCTCCTCATATAAAGTTCAAAAATTATAAAAGCATAGGAAATAAAAAAAAAAGTGAAGGACTTTATCTCTTCATTTTCCCCAAATCTAATAGCTTGCTGTATTTCCCAGGTATCTCTATGCTTATACAGTCTGTGTGTGTGTGTGTGTGTGTGTGTGTGTGTGTGTGTGTGTGTGTAATTTTTACTTGAGTTGAATCAGGCTACAGTTGTTTGCAACTATTTTTTTTTTAATTTAATGGCATTCCAAGGTTATCTTTCTATATCTATATATTATGCTCTTTTTTCCTTTTTAGTATTTGCATGATGTTCCATTGCATTGTTGGAGAAGGTCATCAAGAGGATACGGGCCCATCAGTTGACTCGGGTTCTAGACCTGGGCACAGAGGCTCCTCACCCCCTCTTATGTCCTTGGAATGTGTATTATGCCCACTGTTCCTTGTCTTATGGCCACCCAAGACGAGTCTTTAAATAAATTTCTTACTTTTTAAAAAAAAATTTTTTTTTTCAACATTTATTTATTTTTGGGACAGAGAGAGACAGAGCATGAACGGGGGAGGGGCAGAGAGACAGGGAGACACAGAATCGGAAACAGGCTCCAGGCTCAGAGCCATCAGCCCAGAGCCTGACGCGGGGCTCGAACTCACGGACTGCGAGATCGTGACCTGGCTGAAGTCGGACGCTCAACCGACTGCGCCACCCAGGCGCCCCAATAAATTTCTTAATAAAACTGCCACTTACCAATCTCTTCAGTCTCTCTTTGCCCTCCGAGTATGGGGGCCAGCTTTAGATTGAACCTGGGAAGCTCCCATGGTTGTGAACCAACATGCATGCATATGCTTAATTTATTTAGCTAATCCCTTACTAATGAGGCTGTTATTTACTCATTTTATATTTGTTTTTTTTTACAATTATAGAAATGATATGTGCATATTGTAAGAAACATGAGCAGTAAAGAAAGGTATAAAATATAAAGCAAAGTTTTCTGACCCATTTCCATTTTTAATTTCTCAAATCAAATTCCCTAGTACTTATCACTTTGAATAGGTTTCAATTTCGTTTTTTTGCTGGCTATTCTTGTAGCTTTAAATAGTATACTTCTCTATTTGTTGATTCAGCAATTTTAGACAGTATCTATTGACTGGCTGCTAGGAGAAATAAACAGGAGTCTGAAATTCAGTGACATGGAGGAAAGGACAACCTCTTAGAATATGTGTCTCAATGTGTGTGTATCCTGATTTAATATTTATATGATGAAAGTTATTGATATAATCTATTATGAAGGTATTTTTTCTGTATTTCAAAAACTTTCCATGCTGGTGGGGTAGAAGAGTGGGATAATTTCAGTCTTCTACTATTTCACGAAACCAATGACCTGGAGGAATTATGTAGCATCAGCTTTATATACATGTTTATAATGACCCAGCCTTGCCTTGGGATTATTGGAGCACTTACTGAAGAGAGGGGTCCAAGTTTTAATCCATGGGCTGCTGAGCGAACACTGATGAGAGCCTGGCAAGCACACGCTAGACATGGAATCCAGTGGCAAATGGCAAATGCAAGACACTTGCAGACAGATTTCAGTGTCAAACTTCTAAAGGTTGTATCTGAGCACAAGATGTGGGTGTGGGCTCAAGTTTATTGGGCTAGTCAGATATTCCTGGGTCAGACACCATAGAGACCCCTGAAGTCCAAGTGAGTTCTAGGGTGGGGATGTCATCCAACACTGGTGCTGGGAAGTTTTATAATGTAGGCACTGAGAGAAAATAATTGGGAGTTTCCAATAGAGTTTTCTGCAGAAAAACTGTATCAGGTTACTAAAATGTTTCCTGCACTTAAAAAATGTTGTGCTCATGCTGAGTTGGAACTGGTAAACCGTTAAAGTGGTCTGCTACTCTGGTTTCACTATTATTAAGGAATTTATTTAAAGACAAGTCAAAATATAAAGGCAGTGGTAGAAAAGTAATCAGGTATGTATTTTAGGGTAAGGGATTTTCTGGCTGATGCATGTGGCTCTCTAGATTATAAGGAGTGAGAGCTATCCTGTCAGGGGGAGGGGAATTAGTTCACATTGCTCTTAAGGTCATATCTCCAACCCTATATCACTTAATAAACAGTGTTATTCATTACATCTTTGTGTGTGCATGTGAAATATGCCATTGTGCCATTGTGACCTTCTCATAAATGAAAACAGCTAGGGGCACTTGACTAAGAAGGCTAGAAAATCAGGTTCTGTTAATCTACTGAATAACCCCATGCAGGTCTTCAGACACTGCAGATCCTGGAGGTGGAATAAGGTATGAAGGACCCAGGCAGAAAGAAATTAGATAGGGTTCTGCAGCCTTGATTACCAGGCACGTGAGGGTTCTCTCTATCTCTGGGAAGCTGTACAATAGGCATAGGATTGAGTAGGACCATTCCTAATGGACCATGGAGCCTGGCTACCCTGGACTCAGGATTCAGATATAGTGGAGTCTGAGGGTGGCTGACCTTTTTTGGATAGTTCTGTGTGGGTGATATATCATGCTATCAACCGGCCATCAGAACAGAGTGATAGCCAGTCTTTAGAATGAATCACTCAAGTTTAGTCCTTGGGATCAGGAAGAGTGTTAGGAGTAAAGGTTTGAAAAGGAAGATGATGGTAGTCATGGAGGTAGGATAGTGTAGACCAGTGGCTCTCCAAGAGTGGTTCTCAGCCTAGCCGAGTCAGAATCACCTGGGAACTTGTTAGAAATGCAAATCCTCAGGCATACTCCAGACCTACTAAATCAGAAACTCTGGAAGTAGGGCTGAGCAATCTGTGTTTTTAACACGCTCTAGGTAATTCTGATGAATACTATAGTTTGGGAACTAGTGCTATAGATTAACTAGCTACCTGTTCATTAACTTGAGATTACTTTGGTGATATTTACGTAGGCAAGAACAAGTGAAATATGAGTCAAAAAACTCAGATAAGTAAGTTACACATTTCTTCCAAACCTCTGCTATTGAGGGAAAGTTTATATATTTTTTATTATGTAAAGAAAGAACATTAGTTGAGAACTTCTTGTATGCTTGGCAGTGTGCTTAGTATTTTAGCTGCATTATTACCTTGAATTTCCCCATCTTCTTTATTAATTAGGTGCTATTTTTATTTCCATTTTACAGATGAAGAGACAGAAGGATTAAGGATCTCATTAAAGTGTTTGGAGCTAATAAGTGGCAGAGCTGAAATTTGAACCCAGGGAATTTCAGAAAATGAGCCTGACTTTCTTAACTGCTAAGCTGTACTAGACGATTCTTAATTTCCCATTACACCCTCTCCCTGTGTGAAGGACTGTGGACCATGAAGCATTCGGTAATGTATATTGATTAGTGCTTTTCTGCTATGGGTATGATGTAAAACTGGTATTTTTCCTGTCATTGCTAACTTATTACTCTTCAATCTCTATAGAGTTAACAATTTCAACATATTTGTTTGCAGTTAAGCTCAGAGTTTAATGCTAAGTGAACTTCATATATACTATGTTTTAATCTTGCACTTGCTGAATTTATGCTTTTCCATTACACCTGTAAATCTCTCCCAGTCATAATATGAATGATTTACCATTTTCCTCTCAAGGATTTCCTTGTGTTTTGTTGGCACCTCCTATTATACTTTAGGACAAGGGTAAAAATAATAAGACTTGGTCATTTTAAATCAGCCCCAAATATTGTTTTAGGATAAGCATCCAATTATTATTATTTTTTCTTGTGGTTAAGTTTTCTGTAATTGGAAATGTTGAGGTAATGCTGTTTTAAATTCCGAGTGTGAAAATACTTCTATAGGCATGAGTCCTCTCCTTGTGTGTATGAGCGATTGGGTGTGGGTCAAAGAGACTTGGAACATTAATTTTAATTCAGAAGTGGTTCCAGAGAGACAAGTTAATTTTCAAAATCAGCCTGGTGAGAGTTGGGGCTTGGAAAATGCATTCAAGGAAAAATGTCTTATACTCTGCTAGAACAATTATGAGGTAATAGGCTAGGAGTAAACTGGCCACCAAGGTTTAGTAATGTTTCTAAAGTTGAGGCTGATTTGCCTGAAAATCTCAAATACCACATCTTGCTGATTCTAAGACAAATCACTTTTCACATTTTAATATTTATGAACTCAGAATACACCTTGTAGTTGATGAATATATGGTAGGATATTAACATGGAGGTTTTAGCTGAGGCTAAAGTAGGAAGTATATTTTCAAAGTAGATGGTAGCAGAAGGAATCATGACTTTTTAGTGTTAAATTCAAATTTTACTTTTAGTTGTGGCAAAATACACAGAGTATGAAATTGGCCATCGTAATCATTTTTAAGTGTACAATTCAGTAGCATTAAGTACATTGGCACTATTCTGCAACTGTCCACCTCCAGAAATTTCTCATCTTCTTAAACTGAAACTCTATACCCATCGAAGAGTAACCCCCCATGCTCCCCTCCCTCCAGCCTCTGACAACCACCATTCTTTCTGTCTCTATGAATCTGTCTACTTTAGGTACCTCATATACGTGGAATCATATAGTATTTATCTTTTTGTGACTCGCTTATTTCATTTCACATACTGTCCATAATATTAATTTATGTTGTAGTACATGTCAGAATTTCCTTTTTTTAGGCCAAATAATTACTCCATTAGATGTATATACCACATTTTGTTTTTCTATTCAGCCATTGAAGGACATTTAGGTTACTTCCGCTTTTTGACAATTGTGAATAATGCTGCGTTATGAATACAGGTGTATAAATATGTGTTTGGGAACTTGCTTTTGACTCTTTTGGGTTTACACCCAAAAGGTGAATTGCCAGATCATAAGGTAATTCTACTTTTAATTTTTTGAGGAACCTCTGTACTTTTCTCCATAATGGTATCACCAGTTTGCATTCTCAACACCAGTGCACAAGTTATAATTTTTTTTACTTCCGTGCCAACTTTTGTTATTTTCTGGTTTCTTTTTAAAAACATTTTTTTAACGTTTATTTATTTTTGACGGAGAGAGACAGAACGTGAGTGGGGAGGGGCAGAGAGAGAGGGAGACACAGAATCTGAAGCAGGCTTCAGGCTCCGAGCTGTTAGCACCTTGAACCCATGAACTGTGAGATCATGACCTGAGTCGAAGTCAGACACTTAACTGACTGAACCATCCAGGGACGCTTGGTTTGTTTGTTTGTTTGTTTCTTTTTTTTTTTTTTTAACATTTATTTATTTATTTTGAGAGAGAGAGAAAGAGAGAGAGAGTGTGCATGTGCAAGCACAGGAGGGGCAGAGAGAGAGAGGGAGAGAGAGAATCCCGAGCGGGTTCCACACTGTAAGCACAGAGCCCAACGTGAAGCTCAGTCTCACAAACCAGAAGATCATGACCTGAGCCAAAATCAAGAGTTGGATGCTTAACGCACTGAGTCACCCAGGTGCCCCTTTCTAGTTTCTTGATGGTAGCCATCCTAATGGGTGTGAGGTGGAGGAATCATGACTCCTAAGGACCTTACTTTACACAGGAGATATAATAAAAGGGAAGAAATTGAATATTTAAGAATGACCTTGGGAGGAGGTTGTTGATGGAGAATTGCTGATTTGACCTCCTAGGGAGAATAAGTCAAAGTAAAACCTATGGAGAGGCATAAGTTGTGTTTTCTCGGTTTTCTTAAGGAGACTTTTCCCCTCTAAAGTCTAAGGAGACCACTTGGAGATCTAAAACATGCACCTGCTATCCAGCCATGGATAGTGTTGACATCAGCTCATGACAGTATTGGTCAGGTTAGAACCTTTCTGCTCCTTTGCCTCTTCTCCCACTCCTCACTATAGCTCTTGAGGAGGGAGGGTTGGGAACTGCCATAAGCAAGTTGTAGGTGGGAGTGGAAAGACTAGACTGGAAAAAGAAGCAGCAGCTGATGACATCCCATTGTCTGCACACTTTCTATCTGCAGCAGACACAGATAAAGGAGGTAAAAAGCTTCAACTCTGTATCAAGACCATGTTTTGATTATGATGTAGGGTTGAGTATTCTAATTACCAAATTGAAACTGCCTTTTTGTCACTTAAAGTAACAGTTGAACTTTTTAATGACCTAAGAGAAACCAGAGAATTCATGGAGTCAACTTTCATTTTCATCCAGGGCAATAATAGTCTTGTGGAGCACATCTTAAGGGACAGAGAAAGACAAACATAAAATTGCTTTACGATTATATACTGTGGGTTGGACTTACTCAGTGAATGGTTAAGTGCACATGTTCTCTGGTAATGTCTTCCCCCATTGAACCTCTGTCCCATGGTAATTAAGCTGATGGTGAGTTGTCCTTGGACAATTGAGAGAATGGTCGAAGATGTTTATGTGAGTCCTGTTAGGACATTTAGAAAGAGAAAACATTCCCAACTGTCATGTTTAGCTGTGGTGTGTTTGGCCTCAGGAAGACTGAACTAGTTTATTTGGAGGTGCCTAAGTAGGAGAAATGGGATAATCTCTTATGGCTGAATGAGAGGTTGCACAGGTTTCCATCTCACACTCCCTCCAAGACAGTGGGATTCTTTGTTTCTAAAATGTTCAACTTGGGGCTCAGTTAATTAAGGGTACGACTCGATTTTGGCTCTGGTCATGATCCCAGGGTCATGGGATCCAGCCCCGTGTCAGGCTCCATGCTGAGCGTTGAACTTGCTTAGGATTCTCTCTCTCCCTCTGCCTCTGCATCCCTCCCCCTGCTTGTACATGCTCTCTCTCTCTAAATACATACATATGTACATACGTACTTAACTGACATCACGATCACCAGATCTTCACTGTTCTTTAGCCACACATTGACAGTTTTTTTTTTCTCTTTTTCTTTTTTGCTTGGAGTCTTAACAGTGTTACTGGATTGGGATGTTTTTAGTACTAGAGTTTAGCACATGCACCCCAGTGTTAAAGCAGCGCTATCAACAACAGCTTTCCAAATTATGGAAAGAGCTCAAGTGTCCATTGACTGATGAGTGGATAAAGGAGATGTCATATATATACACACACACACACACACACACACACACACACACACACACAATGGAATATTACAGGGATCAAAAATAATGAAATCTTGCCATTTGCAACAATGTGGATGGAACTAGAGTGTATTATGTTAAGTGAAATAAGTCAATTAGAGAAAGACAAATATCCTATGATTTCACTTGTATGTGGAATTTAAGAAACAAACCAGTTGCAGAAGGAAAGGAAAAATAAAATAAGATAAAAACAGGGAAGCTGTTAAAGAAAGAGAACAAACTGAGGGTTAATGGAGGGAGGTGGGTGGGGTGGATGGGCTAAAAGGAGTGATGGGCATTAAGGAGGGCACTTGTGATGAGCACTGGGTGTTATATGTAAGTGATAAATCACTAAATTCTCCTGAAACCAGTACTACACTATATATTAACTAACTTGAATCTAAATTAAACCAAAGGGAGAAAAAAATGCAGGGTTAACCACTTATTTAAGACTTAGGGAATATCAGATTGTATACGTTGGTCATGTTAAAATAGCTACTGACAAAAATCATTGTTTTTTTTTTTTTGAAAAATATTTTTGTTTCTGTTGTATTATGTGAATGCTTCCAAATTATTTTTGGGTGAAATGTTCGTGTTAGGTATTTGGCATTGGTTAGATAGCAGTGTTCGTGGAGCAGTAGGTGCAACATTTATTTTTAGGAAGACAGAACTTTGCTGTTTAGTTATTATTGTTGTGGAGAGTCATGTGTGCATACTGGTCATCCTCAACACCACCAGAACTGCACCTAGCTCCAGATTCCACCAGAGGTCGTTTGCCTTTTGTCAGTAGTTGATGGGGAATAAATCAACATGCCTACACAGTAAGATTTATTTCCTTTTAATTAGAAAAAACCAGAGGCAGGAAAGTCTTCATATGTGCTTCGGAGTCAAGTCTGCTTCTCTGTCTTCCCGTGGGTGGGCACCATCCTCAAGCTCACGGCAAGATGGCAGCAGGAGTTCTAGCAATACATTCAGTCACGACGATGGCTAGAAAGAGAAAAGAGGCTCCTGTCTTCCTTAAACTTAAGGGAAATTTTCCTTGAAGTGCCTCTTTCCTTCCTCCACCACAGCTGACTTCTTTTATGTTTCTCATTGGCTGGGATTTGTGACATAACCTAAATCAGTAACTGGCAAGGGGCAAGGTGCTACCAGGATTGACTTATAAAGTCCCTGGGCGTGCTGATCAGTTGGTTTCTCTGGAAGCACAGGGGCAATGCTTCTGTTAGGAAGCTGTTAGGGCAATGCTTCTGTTAGGAAGGAGAGTGAGTGGGATCCATACTTTGTAAACAGCTGATAATGTCTAATTACAAAAAAGGTGGATTT